GAGTCTCAGAATAATAGATCCCCTAGTTTGTCTAAATAAATAAATACATTATGAAATACATTTGCTCATAGTAGTTTGCGTGTGCTATGCTAAATGACAGTTTATCTTGCTTCTAGTTCTGCTTCATAAGCAAACAAACAAGCTGTTGCCATTGCTTTACTTTGTGCACGCTCACAGTTAATTGCTAAGTACAAATTTAGAGATGCTGCTTCTTTAGCGAGAATTACCCATAAAAATGACAGAAACTTTCTCTTTTATGCAAATCTCAACGGACTTCTGAAATGTCTTTTTTTTATATAAATATTGCATTCCTAAATGAAGATAATTGTCTCTTGTGGTAGAAGTGTTGGGAAAAAAACCCAGCATAAAACAGGCTTATAATATTTTTACTGTCTTGCTTTGATTTGAAATATTTTGTGGGTTTTGATGCCTAGAAACTTTTATCACCGTCTCTGTCATGGACTGACTGCTGGCAGACAAACATAATTTTGATTATATTTTCCTAATATTTAATCTTTTCCTCTCTGCTGTTTTTAATTTCACTTTGCATTTATGAGGAGGATGAACTTTGAGTCACCTGGACTGTTCCTTCATATCCTCTTGGCTTGTCTCCTAATTATTCAGTATTAGCAGAGGGATTTTTATCCTGCCTTGCCCTTTCCTTCCAGTTTCCGCAATACCTTTCATTTTTTAGTCTTCTGGGGTTTATTTTATATTTTGGTGTCTTTGGCACTGGTATATACAGTGAGATACAAGACCGTCCAATACATGTATCACAGATAGGTAGTAGAGGCCATCCGTGCCTGTGTATCACTAGAGGTTTGCAGTCATTTCCCTTGTTGAGAGTCTTGTACAAGCACTTGAGATTCTGCTCAGGGCCTTAAAAATCATGGCCTTTAAAGGCATGTGAATTCAGGCACATAAAATTATCTGATTGAAAACAGAATCAGCGAGGTTAAAGCGAAGGCATTCTCATAATGAATTCTGTGGAATGGAGCTGGATAAACCCTTGTAAATGTACCTGATTTTCATCTGTCTCTCTGCTAAAACTGCAGTTTTTCTGTGTTCCTCATGCCATATCTGTATTTTATCTTTTCTTTCATCCTGTCCTTAGTGCTGTCAAAGAGTCTGCCTTCAATGGGACTTGGTGATCAGACTGTGTGGTATAATTTGCACACGTGATGAATGGAACAACAAAATTAAAAACAGTCTTCCTAAATGCTCTTAATTTTGTTTGTTTAAAAAAGTTTGGGGGAACGATCCATTATTGTAGCACATCCGCTTCTCCTATAGTGCTATAGACTTTGTAACTGTTGGTTAACTAGGGAAAGGACATATTTACTGAAGTGCATGTATTTTCCAAATGGTTTAAGCAGAGCACTTTTACATTAACTGATAACTTTTGCTTAAGAGCTTGATTATTGAATAGCTAGCCATGTTTTTTTAATTAAGTTACTATTTTTTTTTTTCATGAAGTCACAGATTGCCTTGTTCCACATGTTGAAGATGCAGAGATTCATAACAAGACATACAGGACTGGCGATAAGTTAATAATCAGCTGTCATGAAGGATTCCAGATCCGTTACCCTGACTTAGACAACATGGTTTCAATATGTCAAGACGATGGAACATGGGATAATCTGCCCATTTGTCAAGGTTTAGTACACCAGCACATCCTGTTCTATATAGCTCATGCACCTTGTGATAGTTTGCCAACATTTTTTTTCTACAGTTGTAAGGATGTTAGTGGTCTGATAAGCTCCACTGTACAGTATTTGAATAGTGCTGCTGCTAAGACTTTTTTGATTTCTCTTCCCTATTGCTCACTGCAGGAAAGATGCCGCTTTCTGAACATACCCATACTTGAATACTACTTTAAATATTGCTTTTTGTTTGCTAGTCTAAAATCTGACACAGATACATTGCATTTTAAAAAATAAATCAGGGTTAAATGAGTCAGAAGTTCATCGAAAGATCTAATGGGCAACAGACATTTTCGCACCAATTGATTTCTGGAAAGATTTAAACTTATAACTGCAATTTACCTTTCTTTGCCTTGTGCAGCAGGCAGGGTAGAGGAGAGAAGCTGGAACCTGTTCTTCTATCAGAGTTTTCAGCAGAGTTGTTGATCAGGTTCACAGTCTATTAAACCTGTAGGTATTGACTGAAAATTCAGGGTGTGTGTAGGAATGATTTTGGCCAGAAAAGCCATTAGCCGTAGAACCAGTAGTTTAGCAGCATGAGATCCCAGCTTCGCTTAGACTGCGAGAAATGGCTGGGGGTAAGCCAGCTTTAGCGAATGGAAATTCAGTAACCCTGGGCTGCTACTACCTTTACATTTCTAACACGCATGTGTTATTACCATTGACTTGATTTTAACCAATTCATGTCCTGGTAACAAGCTTGACCAGCTGAACAGGATCGAGAAATTTTTACTGTCTCTGCTAAGGTGAAGACTGGGTTAATATTAACTTTCCTCAAACCCATCTGTCATCTCCTAAAGCTACCTGTTCTCTGTAGGCACTTAATTACACCATCACATCAATTTGCAAAGTTGGGGCAGGCAGGTAGGGAGCTGAGACACTTCTTAGAAGTGACGGTGGCAAGGTGAGACTCATAAGTCAGGGCTTGGTGTTTCTGGTGTAAAGTGATGAGACTGATGGGTGCCAGAGTCAGAAGTTACAGGAGCTTAGGTTGTATGGGTCTCCACAGTTAGGACCCTTGGTTTGGGGCACAGAAAACTGCCCCCCAAGGACTTGTCTTAGACTATGTAGGCACAGACATGTAGAAGCTTAGGGACATTACAGGAATAGCTCAGTGTTTTAGATGCACATGTTGTATCTGAATAGGGCTAACAGAAAAGGGGAGTTTTCACAAACCCATGAAATCTGGACACTAGTTCTGGGGTATCTTATCAGCAATGGCATTGTGTGTGGCAGTATGAAGTATACAGCCCATTTTTGAGAGTGGGTGCACCTCACATCTAATTAAGGTAGATTAAGACTGTTGCCGTTAGGGGAGATGAATACTCAAAAGATTGATTTGCAGGTACTGTTTCCCAAAGGTCCATGTGGAAATTTTGTGACAACCAGTATTAACTGAGTAACCAAAAGTACCCCAAGTACCTGCTGGCTTATTACTTTCTCCTGTTGCTGTATTTGTGCTATGAAACACAATCAATTGCTGCTACTCAATATTTGATATTAACTGCTTTTCAAAATAAAAGCAGTGCTAATAAAACTAAGAAATCAATTGCGCAAGAGCCAAGTGCTGTAACTACCAGAGAGGTAAATAATAGGCAATTCAGATTCAATTATCTGCCGTATTTTGCCAAATTCTCAAATTGTTCTCAAATTGTCTCCAGAATTTTCTTTTTGCTATGTCAAGCACTAACAATATCAAAGGCACTTGTCTACTTGCACTAGGTAGGCTGTCAATTACATTTCTGTGGCACTTTGATTACAACAGGCAGGGGAGTCTCATGACACTAAGATGCCTTTTTTTCTGCCAGAGCAGTGGGAAAGGACTGTAAAGCATGTAAGAAGCCAACCTCAAACTATTTTTTTGCCATGAGATAACATTGATAATTACTGATCTGAAATGATGTGAAGTACTTAGGAAAAAAATGTCAAAATGAAGTTTTCAAGCAGCTCGAGATGTTTGGAGACCTAGGGATTTTTGCAAACACTTGGCTGTCATGCAAATTCAAGTAAATCTCTGTCCTGCATTACAAGGAACCCAATGAGCATTACAATTCTGAGCCAGCAGGACAACATTTTCCCTGATACAGCTCAGAGGAGAGTGAGCATGGTCTTGCTTGGGCAGTCTGAGCTCTTTCTGTCACACTGGAGGCTGCTTATATCATCCTGCTCAGTGGGCTGCTCAGTTTCCAGGAACCAATGTGTTGTGTGTGGGGCATACTTGATCAGGTCTATGAGCAGAAGCCAGTATATAGGATGCTTGAAGCTTTATTTGAACAGGGAGATAACCAGCTAGTAAAACAGCTATCAAAACCATTGCTCCGGTAGTACAGTGTGCTGTAAAAAGCTTTCAAGCTTTTTCTGTTTTTTTCCTTTTGCTTTCGTCCCTCTCCCTCAAAAGACCATTGCAAGGAAATCAGCACTTGAAGTGCTGCTGAGACTTTTTCTTTTACAGGCCAGTATCTTACAAGTAGTTCTCAGACTGGTTTTAGTTCCCCCCTTAGGCTTAAAATTATGAACATCCTTCAAAAATTCCTAGTAGTGGCAAGAGACCTATTTATGGATTGCCATAATGTGGCTCTTGTTAGTCTCGTAACTTTATAATATTATTTTTCATCCCCTGATTACTAATCATCTTTCCTCCACATTATTGCAAATTAAAAAATCAACGGTATTAAGTATTGCCCAGAGGGTCATTTCTGAGGCCATGAGGAATTATTCTTTTGCTCTAATACAAACTCTTATCTAAGTACCAGCTCAAAACAGACTCTGGATGTATGTGAATGACATGTTATAAAGTCATGTCATCTATTCGATTCACCACTCTTTCTTGCACCAAATATGGTTGATGACCCTTTAACTGTCACCACTCAGTACCATGCATGGTACAAATCCCTAAGCAGCAATTCCAGTAGAACGTAGTCTCTGACTACATTTATAGTTCCTGGTGATAACAGGTACCTTAATTTTTTGATAACCTAATCCGACACTTCGTTCAGTGTTTATCATTAGGTTGCTCATAGGAAGTTATGTCCCTTTGGACTTTTCTCAAACTGGAATTTCAAAATCATTAATTCTTTAACATTTGTGTGCATTTTGTCACAGGAGCAGTTTTAATATTAAAGATGGTTTACATGCCTGTCAGTTTTAAGAGGCGGAATAAATCTCATGGTGTATATAAATGACAATCTTTGTTTATTAAAGATTCTACCTCAAGAAGAAATTGCCATCTGCTAAACCAGTGAATGTTTGTGAAACAAAATACTGTCATTTTCAGTAAACCTTTCCTGCATTTGCTGAGATGAATCCCACGCTAGCAAAGTGTGTGGGCTAAACAATAAAAGGGTTTGAAACAGGATAATAAGGCATGTGTATCTGAGGGAGATCATGCAGACATGCCATTCACAGTAGAGAAGATGAAAAATATTGCACTCCTCAGTTTAGGAATTATAACCAAGATGTGTGAAGATGACTGAGATAAGCAACTGATAATAAAAGATACCTCCCTGTTCTTAATTTGCAGGTTGCCTGAGGCCATTGGTTCTTCCTCATAGTTACATTAACATATCTGAGTTCGAGTCCTCCTTCCCCGTAGGAACAGTGGTGTATTATCAATGCTTTCCTGGATATAAACTAGAAGGGGCAGAGTTCCTTGAGTGCATGTATAACCTTATCTGGTCAGATAGCCCACCTAGGTGCCTTGATGTGGAAGGTAAATGTCTAATTTTTTTTTTTCTCTTTCACTTTTGCAAAATCGGCATGCTCTGTATGATTTTAACTCAGGGCTAGAACCACAGTTTGGCTATATGTAATGTTTCCGCAGGCCACACAGAGCCTATCTGGTTTTTGTTGCGTGCAGCCTATTGTGGTTCACTGCAGCATTAGCTCTTGGTGTTCACTAACTAATGTTTGCTCTCTCAGTGTCTGAAGTGCAGGAGTGGAAGCTCTTAACGATGATTGCTTTGCCCTTAAAATGTAAATTCTTTGTAGCTTTTCTAATAAAGATACTGAGGAAGTTATGGGATTCACATTTGTGTGCAGATGGTCAGAGTTTCTATAGATATGGATAGATTTCCATGATAAACTAAAAAATAGTCCATAGAAACTCTTAGTCTGGGCTATGCCAGCTGCAAACGTTATTCAGCGCTACATGGTGCTGCATGCTTGAATATTTGTTTTCTCTCGTAGTAGTTAACCTTAAAGAAGAATTTGCAACTAAAATGACTGAGCTAATTTATTGGTTAGGAACATAAAAACCATTCAGTGTGAAACAGAGGTAAATCACACCAAGCCAAAAGGAATAATCCGTAATTATAGCTGCAGTGCTGGAATGGAGGATATTGTAGTGCATTTATATGTGCATCCCATACATTTAAAACAAAGATACTGAATGGATTGCTCTATACACTGTCAAAACCTTGTGTACTACCTTCCTCCATCTTCATGCTGCATTTTGTATGAAACATCCTAGGAAGTCATCAGAATCCAAGTACATCCTCTGCATTTCATTCCCCTAAAAGGACTACATTTTTGCTCTATTTCAAGCCTGTGAGGAAGCTATCTATATGTAGAAATTAGCTAAAGGCATTTATAGAAATTCATATGTGATGCTTACGTTGCTGAGCTAAATGCTAAGCATTCTGGAAGTGCAAAAATTTGCCAACAGCATCAACAAAGTGATATACCGCACAAAAATAATAAAATAATATCCTTATTTTTAACTGACAATTCAAGTTCCAAAATTCAAAAATGCCTTTGCAATTTTGGAATGACATCACAAGATTATTTATTTATTTATTTATTTAGCACACCATAAAAAATTAATCCCAAATCAGCTCTCTGTAAGCCATTTTTGGAAGGTTTGTTTGTTGTTGTTTATAGCATGAAAATACATTAAAAAATCAGAAGGGCCCTGTTAGGCTTAATCCAAACAGTATAACTGTTTCAGTAAAAATTACAATTCCCAGTTAGGAAAATAAGAGCATTAAAATACAGAAACGCAAGTGTGTGAAGCAGAAAAGGCTGTGTCTTACCCTCACTTAACTTAGGTGAGCATTCCAGCTCCTACCAAAATACCCGAGAAGACTCATATGTTCATTGTTTATTGCTTGTATTATAAAGTCATGGAGAGGCTCTTTTTTTTCATCATCTGAAAGATGAGATAAGAAGTTCTGCCCTGACAGTTCTACCTTTTAAATAACATGTCAAAAGTTATCATCCCCAGTCAACTATGAAGAATGTGTGACGGGGGGATCATTGTGTGCCAGACACTGGGTCAAGGCCATCTAGGAGGTCTCCTGAGTTTTGATTTAGATCCAGACTCCCTTTTAATCATTTTTGTATTGCACTCTTTAAATGTTAAAACTTTCCATGGTGATTTCATGTTGGCGTCCCATCTGTGCACATGTTGAGTGAAACACAGGAGACCAAAGTCTAGAGCATAACGCATGGAAGAGCAGGTTTTCCTCAGCTTTGGGGTTGTCCTTGCTTCTGTTGGGGCAGAAGAGAGAGCAGCATCACTAAAAGGTCACCCCTGACAGCTCCCCTTGTGAGCTCTGTTGTAGGGATGCTTCAGCTGGTATGCAGCGAACTACAAAATTAAATCCAGATAGGGTAAATCAACTTGAGATGCCCTCGTTTGAAAGTGTTTGCTCAAGTGATTTATGCAAGGAGTGCCAATCTCCAGGCATCTTATTACAAACCACTACTCTTAATTAGTGGACAAAACTCCCTCCTGGCATGTTTTTTATTCTGCACCTTGCATACCAATGTCAAGCTCATTTTTCAGCATTCCTTTTATGTGTGAGGTATAATCTCGCCAAGCAGTATTTTTCACAGAGGAAATCTGGCAATAACAAATTAATTCCATTTATTTATTTCCATGATCAATTCAAAATTTATTCTAATGACATTTCTTGCTCAGTATTTTAATATGGTGATGATTCAAAGCAAATGGTTGTTGGGAAGCTATACTAAAGCATTTTAGAGCTTTTATTCTGCTATAAAAAATGCTGCTTACAGCTTTCTCATTTTGGTATATGTTCTTCTTGAAGCTTACACAGAAGGAATTTCTTAAATGTGTGTGTAATCACATAAATGCTATATGTCAATCTCGTGAATATTTCCCTCTTTGTTAGGCCAAATAAATTCTGAATGAAGGGTTTGTAGCTCCATTTAAATAAGTAGTTACACCAGGGACCGCTCAGCTCCCATCGTACGGCATGTTTTCTGATGTTCAGTCCAGTCTTATTCTCAATATTGCCAAGTGCAGAGCTTCCACCAACTCTGGAAAGAGACTAATTTTTGCTAATAGGGAAGAAGATTTTTCTGATAATTAAAATCGCTGTGGCTTTAGTCACAGCAGTGCATAAAAATTGTGTTACCTGGTACTGAAGTGCAGCCAAAACTTCAGAGTTATGCAGCGGCTTCCCAGAAGCAGCTGTTTGAGTCTGATCAGGGAAGTTGTTATAGCTCAGGCAAATAAGGATGCCTCTAGCTCAGATTGCCAAGTATTTACTGGTATGAGAAGCTTTTCTTAAATGCTTGTACCTTTGCTAATTTTAAAACATTCAGATTGATTTTTGAGTGTCTGCCTCAAGCTGAATCATTTGGGAAGCTTCAGTTGAAATGGTTCAGCTATATCTGAGAATGACGATGGAGGAAATGGTGCCGTTTTGCCAGTGCTAGAAAATTTTACAGCCATTTAGAGGATAAGATGAAGCATCTTAACACTGTGTTTTCTTCTCCTTTAAGTCCTCGATTTACATCTTTAACTCTCTTATTATCCGTTTTTCTAGTGGAATTCCGTAATTATGCAGAAGTTTTTTAAACTTTCCTTTGCAATGAAACTCGCTAGACACTTCCAAGGATATATGAAAATCTAAGGAAAGTGTGAAAGTGTTGCTTTTATTTATATGATTTTTAGATTACCAATTGGGGTTCATCATCCATCTGTAGAAATTGATATAGATTAGTGATTGCTTTCTGTAAAATCAGATATGCAGAAGATGGGTGGAAAACCCCTTAAATTGAAGATTACCACATTGGGTATAAACATTAATTGTAAAATCAGATGGCTTCCAGAAACACTGGAGGAGACCAAACACTTGAAAACATACCAGTATGGAACTCTGTGAAATTAAATGTATGGAACCAGGAAATGTTTATGATATGGTACTTTAAGGTGAATAAAGACATTACACAGGATTTGGAGAAATTTAAAAAAAAAAAAAAAGCAAGCCTGTCCATTAGGACTTTGGGAATGTGATCTGCATATGATTACACATCTTGCCATCTGGACTCTGTATTTTAATCTTTCTTGCCATTTGGAAGACTTCCAAGAAGGTGTAAGGAATTGTTCTTATAGAGTACTGAGGTGAAAGCAGGCAAAGAGAGGAAAGGCTGGAAGAATTTTATTCTAGTATTAATACTAGAATATAAAGCAGTTGTGTAGATAGTGTAATTTCTATTTAAGAGTAAAAGGAAAACAGGTTGATTGAATTTGCCAACAGACATAATCCTGTTATCTGGAATGTCTGGTTTCAGCATTGTCTTTGTTGAACAGAAAAGCCGGTCCTACAGGTAATCAGAATTATTGCAATATCAAACCTTCACTCTACATGCTAGGATCAACAGATTCTCTAGCTGAGGTTAAGCTTGAAAGAATGTGAAATAGAAAATATTTCAAATTTTTGTAGGTAGATTCAAAATGAAGATGAAACATACATGAGGAATAGACTTCAAAGGAGAGATTCGATACGTAGAAGAGAGGAAAAACATAGAAACAAACTGAAAGCATTTCCAAACTGTGGCATATAAAAACACCTCATTGTGAGGGAAGGTGAAAAGACAGAATGCTAAGCAACCACCAATTACAGAAAGGATCCTGAAAATTACAGAAACTGTGGAAGAAAAATAGGAGAAGGAAGGAATTTTAAAAATTGCACAACAAAGCCAGAGGAAGGGAACCCAAAAAACCCCTACCTGGAGCCCCAGGAATTTTCTGAAGAATAAAAGGGGATTAGTCATAGGAAAATATGCTACAAATAAAAAAATATTCTGGAAAGATGGGCAAGAATACAGGACAGAGCTTTAAAATTATTCTTAGAAACCTGAGGACAGAGACTCATAGAGGCGGTCTGATAATTCTGACATAGAACCAAGAAAGTAAAGAGCATGAAAGAGCACTGGAGGAGGGTGATGTTACACGTGAAATGCCATAGACACTTATTTCAAAACAAAGTAGCTTAAACTTTCTAACCAATTGCACACAGGATACTTTGAAGGAAAGCTTCAAAAATCTTCATTCTTATATAACAGCCGCTAATGCCATGTGCAGTGATTGACACCAAGCTATACATTTGATAAACTATGCCCTTAAAATATTTTAAGTTCTTGATGGAACGTACAGCAATACACTGAGAAAAAAAGATACAAGTCAGCCTGTAATCACTTTATGTTCAGGAGTCTGAATAAAGTAAGCAATCCTAAGCCTGAGATATTGTACATTGGTATGAATGGATTTCTCTCTGTGTTTCTTTGTTGACATTGAGAAGGCTTTAGATAAATGCCAACATGACAGACTGATGCGTATCCTCAGGGAAGATAATGTTGATGCAGCAGATCTCCCACAGATAAAAAACCTTTAGAGGGAGCAGAGGGCAGCAATACAAGCAAGTTGTGAAACCCTGTGGTATTAAGAAATTAAGAGAG